CCTAATCCCGCTCCCTGCCGCCGATGCCGGGCGGTTTTAGGGCCAAAAATAAATCCCGGATCCCCGGAGGCGGCCGAGCCCGCGTTGGGTGACACTGGGTCGGTCGCTGTCCCCGTGGGTGAGATCGGCCCGTCCCTGGGGACACGCTTTGGTTCGGAGGGCAGCGGAACGCCCTTTTGTGGCTGTAAACACAAGCAGCGATAGCACAATCATGAATAACTCCCCTCTTCCCTTCCACCCCCGCTGTGTCACCCCCGACACGGGGTGCGGGTCCCTGCTCCCTCCTCCCCGTTTGTGGCAGGACTGACAGTCGTCTTTTCTTTTAGGATAGGAAAAGTGGGAAATCAGAAGCGAGTGGTTGGAGTGCTGCTGGGCTCCTGGCAGAAGAAGATCCTGGATGTGTCCAACAGTTTTGCAGGTGAGTTCAGCTGTCCTGCCCCGCTCCAAAGCCACTGAATGATTTAGTGGATGGACTGTGTTGGGGATTTTGAAGAAACCCTTGATCCATCTATGTACAAATCACCTCATATCCAACAACAAACACAAACTGCTGTCAACACCCCTAAGTAAACTTCACTCTCCTTTAGCAGCCAAAAATACCCAGATCCAGAGCATGTCAATAAATATTTTATTTCAGGAAGTTGGGTTCTTAAACGCTGGTGTTTTGTTTTACTCCCAGTACCCTTTGATGAGGATGACAAGGATGATACTGTGTGGTTCCTGGACCATGACTACCTGGAGAACATGTATGGAATGTTTAAGAAGGTCAATGGTGAGTTGAGATCTTCTGATAGTCAGGGATACGCTCCCAAAAACTTTCAGGGCTGTGGAAAAGGAGATTCCTATTGATCACAGAATCCATAGAGTTGGGCAGTATCTGTAAGATCATAAAGTCCAACCATCAGCTAGCACTGTGTTCTCCACTAACTGTGTCCCACATCCACATGGTTCTGAACACTTCAGGATGGGACTTGCACCTGTCAGATGTGCAGGCTGTCAGACCCTGAGAGCCACACAATTAACAGAAGCTGTTAATTACCAGGAGAAAAGCTGTGGGTCGGTAATGGTCAGTGCGGTCACTGCTTGAGCCATGGCCTTGTAATGCACTTCCCTCTCCCCCACACAGATCAGGCTCTCCCCCTCCATCAGCCCACCCAGTCTCTGCCCAGGTGTCTCTGCTGGGGCCTCCCCCAGTTCTGATTCCCAATCCTTTCTGCTTTTGCTCAGCCAGAGAAAGAATCGTGGGGTGGTACCACACGGGCCCCAAGCTGCACAAGAACGACATCGCCATCAACGAGCTGATGAAGAGATACTGCCCCAACTCTGTAAGTGGGGCCGTCTTTGGCCTGTGGGGCTGTTCCTGCCTCTCTTCCCCTGAAAAAGGGCATCTGGGAAGCCTTATCCCCCACCTTTTTTGCTGGTGACACAGCTGTGAGGTGATTGAGGAACTGGGATCAGCAGTTTCTTGAATCATTGTCTCAGTGCCTGAGGTTACGCCTCTGAGCAGCCTAGTGCTGGTGCTGAGGAGGGAAGAGCTGGCTTGGGTACTTTTTTCCTACTCAACTGAAATCCAGTTCTCTGCACGTTTTCTTTCTCCCCGAGGTGCTGGTGATCATTGATGTGAAGCCAAAGGACCTGGGGCTGCCCACAGAAGCCTACATCTCCGTGGAGGAGGTCCATGATGTGAGTGTTCACTCTGTGAATGTCACAGTCCCAGCTGGGAGCTCCTGGAGGCTGCCCCTCGTGGGTGGCACTGGCTGCAGGTGCTCCCAGGTGTGCCCAGTCACTGTGGGCCTGCCCTGAGCAGCTCACACACACAAACAACACCCAGCAGTGACTCACTGTAATTGTGGCATTTAAATTATTCTGGATGCGTATAAAATAGTGTATCTTTTTGCCTTTCTGAGGCCTTCACGGCAGAGCAGGAGCTGCTCTCCCAGAATGCAATGAGGTTGGGTCAAGAAAGAGAGAAATAACTGTGCTATTTAGATTTTCAATTGCTCCCCCCTGGGCACAGATCAGCAAAATGCAGAAATGGGAAGTTAGCCAGAGCAGGAGAGATTGCTGGGGCAGTCAGTGACACTGATTAAATCAAGGAGATCCCAGCTCGAGCTGTTCCTCTCAGATCCTTGTGTAGGGCTGCCTTTCTGTTTTCCTCGGTGCAGTCCCTCATCCCCTGGCTAAAATCCCCCGTTTGTGTGTCCCTTTAGGACGGCACCCCGACCTCCAAGACCTTTGAGCACGTGACGAGCGAGATTGGTGCTGAGGAGGCCGAGGAGGTGGGAGTGGAGCACCTGCTGAGGTGAGGGCACAGCTGTCCCGGGCCCTGCCACGCTCCCAGCGGCGTTCCCGCTGCCCGAGGAGCACATCAAACACGTGGCACAAAGCCTGGGAGCCCGGCTGCCATCAGCCCTGCTCACACGGCTGGAAAGGCCCAAGGGCTCAGGTTCTAATCCCCTTTCTCTCTGGCTTTCAGGGACATCAAGGACACCACGGTGGGCACGCTGTCCCAGCGGATCACAAACCAGGTCCATGGCTTGAAGGGACTGAACTCCAAACTTCTGGACATCAGGAGCTACCTAGAGAAAGTAGCCCTGGGCAAACTCCCCATCAACCACCAGATCATCTACCACCTCCAGGACGTCTTCAACCTGCTCCCAGACGTGAACCTGCAGGAGTTTGTCAAGGCCTTTTACCTGAAGACCAACGACCAGATGGTGGTGGTGTACCTGGCCTCGCTCATCCGCTCCGTTGTGGCCCTGCACAACCTCATCAACAACAAGATTGCCAACAGGGATGCGGAGAAGAAAGAAGGACAGGAAAAAGAAGAAAGTAAAAAGGAGAGAAAAGATGAGAAGGAGAAGGACAAGGAGAAGAGTGATGGCAAGAAAGAGGAGAAAAAGGAGAAGAAATAAAAGGTGTAGCTTTTTTATTTGTAAATTAAAAATCTTGTAAACTAAATCCCTGGTGCTGGGGTCTTGTATGATGTGCTCAGCACTCTGCTCCTCCTCACCCGGGCAGGGTTGGGGGGAGCCATGTGCAGGTTTTTGATTTGATTATGCTGTTACACAGCACTTCTCCTTCCCCCAGTGTGTCTTTGGGGGTGTTGAGGCCTCAGCTCACGCACACTCTGCTCTCACTGAGCATACTCCCATGTTCCGGGGCTAATCCTTTGCCACCAGCCAATTTTGTGCACCACAGCCATCCCCATGTTTAACTGGCTCTGTGCCCCGGCCCCTCGGGGTGTGGCACAGCTGGGATGTTGTCACTGCTGTCACACCTCTGTGCCTCCCTGGGGACAGCGCTGGTGGCCCTGTCACCCCTCCCAGCTCTAGGGGCTGCAGGAGCCTGGGGAGGCACTGGGTGCCTGACACAGAGCAGGCAGGGACAAAATCCATGGGATTTGTGATCCCATTGCTGAGCTCCGGATATCATTATGGCCCTGGGGCCCCAGCCCTGCACAGACCCCACCATGGGAGACACACAGTGACCCAGGACACGCAGGGGGACCCAGGGCACACACAGGGACCCAGCACACAGGCACACCTCGGCAGCTGCTTTGTCGTTTATTGCACACGAAGCCGCGCGGGGCCGTGCGGGACCGGCCGTTCCCAGCCCGGAGCCGGTGCAGGTCCCGTCCCCACAGCCCCCGGACACACGGACACAGCCACGCCGGGTCTGTCACCCGCACACACGGGGAGGGACACAAGTGACAGCCAGGTGATCCTGCCCTCCTCGCTGCAGAGGGGACACAGGAGCGTGGGCAGAGCCCAGGATCGAGCAAAGGCCGGCAGGGCCCCAGCAGTGCCCGGAGCCCCCGGGGCCGCTGTGGAGCACCAGCTCCGAGCAGAAACCACATCATTTAAATACAACTGCCCAGGGGCCACGGGCTGCACGTGGGGACACGCCAGGGACACGCTCAGCCAGGCTCTGGCTCCAGAGGCCGCGGATCTGGCCTAGCAAGGGGCTGTCCTGGCGCTCAGATGGAGCACAAGAGCCCCTCAGAAGCATCGTCTTGGGGGTCCCTGTCACTGTTGCTGAATGCTGGCTGCAGGATGGGGCCCAGAAGTCAATCTGAGAGCCATTTCCCCCTCACCTGCCACTACCAAAATGCCATGAAAAGGCAGAAAACACGAGGGGGAAGAAGAGCATCTACCAAACACATAACTGTGCCTTGGAGAGGGCTGGGGAGCCCCAGTGCCCCCTGTGCTGCCCCTCTGCGCCAGCCCGTGCAAGCCAAGCCCTCGTGTCCTCCTCTCCATCACAGCTCGGATTTCCTTAGGGAGGGAAACACAGCCCCGTTCCCCCGGGGCCGTGTCAGCGCAGAGCTCGCCCAGGAGCAGAAGCCACAGTGTCCATAGGGAGCACACCCCGGGCAGGGCTGGGCCCTGGGCACCGGCCGGCAGCGCTCCGGGAACGCCCCACAGCTCCATCACTCCTGTCCAAAGCCTTCCGTCTCCTCGATGGCGTAAAGCAGCTTCTCCTTCAGCTGTTCATAGCTCTTGTAGGGAGGGAGATCCAGGCGGTTGAAGCTGGGGAGAGAGCCGAGGCTGGGCAGGCCAGGAGCAGCAGTCCCAGCCCAGGGATGGAGCCCCGAGCAGCCCCACAGAGTCCCCTCTGTCCCCAGGCCCAGGGGCAGTCACTTACCACGTGTGACTCCGAGGCAGCCACGTCTCTTTGCCAACTTTATCGATGCAGAATTTCTGGGGCCCGTTGCTGCCTGTTAATGGAGAGCACAGCAAAGCTCTTTACATGACCAGGAGCTGAGAAAGAAACCCCTCCCACTCACACTGAGATCTACCTCATGGCCCTACAATCCCAGGGTCACACAGGGCATAAATCCCAGGCAGCAACCCCTGCCTGTTTGCAGACAGGATGTTCAAAAAACAGAGGAGAAAGCAAAAAGCAGCACAGAGGGGCAAGAGCACCACCTCTGAACACGATGGTTCCATACCAAGTGCTAAAACTCATTGATCTGTAAGCCCTGAGGATTGTGCGAGTCCATCCAAGAGTTTTAAAGGACCTGGCACAGCAAGTCTGAGTCACTGAGGTGGCTTTTTAACACAGTGGGAATGCTGGAGAGATTCCAGGGGGTGGAAAAAGCTAATATGCCAGCAAGAACAACTGAGTGGGTTAAGCAAGCTGGTTGGCTTAACACAGATGCCAGGAAAGTCAGGGAAAGGCTGGTATAGGCCCCAAAAAGCGGTAAATTAAAGGAGGAGTGGAACCACACTGTGGTTTTCTGAAAAAGAGGCTTTGTCGCACAAGAATGAAAATTGAATCAGAAATCCAATCTCATTCAGACTGAGATCACAAACCAGCCCAACAAAGTTAACCCTGGTGGGACCCTTTGGTCATAGCCAAGGAACGTGTGTGGAAATGGCACAAGACAGAGCACCGTGCTCAGATCTCACAGCTGCTCTGTGCTGCTGTGAGCTCTGTGTGGGGACAGGGACAGGGACAGGGACAGGGAGGTGCCACCCCACCAGGACACACCAATGAGCTCAGCAAAGCCCCCGACGGGCAGGCGGCAGGTCCCCGTCACGAACTGCAGCAGCCGGATCCTCTTCTCGTTGTCCATCTCCTTAACCACCTGCAGCAGGAACGCAGCAGCTGAGCGGGATCCTGCTCCCCCCCTGCAGGATGGCTCCTGCCAGGGCACCCCACGCCCTCAGCTGGGCTCACACTGACCTGCCAGAACCACTGGATCTGTTTGCTGTTCTTGGTGTAGTGCCTGTAGATGGTATTTTTCTGCCAGTCGTTCATGTCGATCTCCTGCATCCCGCACAGCATCAGCTGGGGACAGGGGACACTCAGCAGGGGACAGACAGAGCCCTGAGCCCGTGCTCTGAGCACCAACCCCTCTGGCGCCGGCCTTCACCTGGCCCAGGTGCCAGCACTGAGGTGTCTGGCACTAATTCCTCCCATCCAATGGGATGTCCTTGCCAAGGACACAACCAGCCACCCCAGACCCAACACCGGGGCTGACATCAGCCGATGGGCACAGAGCATGAGCAGGGTCACCACGTGCCGCCTCCCACCCACACCCCCAGCCCAGGTGCCAGCTCACCTCCAGCTCCTTCTCGTCGAAGTAGCGCAGCCACTCCAGCGGCACCACCTCGTTGAAGCCGTCCAGGAAGGCCTTGGTCTGCTCCTCCACACCCCGAGTGAACCTCCAGTCCGTCAGCAGCCTGGGGAGGCAGAGGGGTCGGCACAGAGCCAGCACCGCTGGCCTGGCCTGGGAAAGCCCAGGATCCCTCCCACCAGCAGCAAGGGCCCCGGGAGTGTTGGGAATGGGGCTCCCTCAAAGCACCAGGGCTCCCCTCAGTTCCCACTGCTGGATTTCTGTCTCTGCCCCCAAACCCGTGAGCAGCGTTCAGCCCCCAGAGCGGCCTTAGGAGCTCCTGGGGTGCAAACCACATCCCCTGGCTGGAGCTGAGCTGGCCCTGGCAGCCCCCAGGCAGGCAGGGGGAACAGCCATGGGATGGGAAAGCAGCCTCAGCCTCTCTCCCCTCTCCTTTTTCCTGAAAGTACTGGCAACTGCCCAGCCCTCAGCAATCCAGACCGCAGCAGAGCTCGGCCAGCCGCGCCAGCCCGGGCCTGTCACAGCCACGTAGCCCAGGGAAGCGGCCACGTCCCAAGGCCCACGGTCCCACCCCTGCAGCCGCTGGGGGCGGGTGCCTGACAGGACCCTGGGGACAGCCACTCACATGATGTACTCCTCCTTGTTCTCCTCCGTCACACGGATGCTCTCACCGCCCTCCTTCAGCTCGTGGGTGGTCACCTTGCCCAGGATCTCCATGTCCTGGATGAAGTACAGCTCCAGGCCGCACTCCTCCAGGCTGTTCTCCCTGGGGAGACACCGGGGTGTGACTCCTGCTGGAGGCACCCAGCAGCAGTGAGGGGCTGTGGGGAGAGCTCTGCAGGAGGGAGGGCAGGTCACTCACTTGGTCCACACGATGGAGTTGTAGAACTCGGGGTCAATGGACTCCAGGTCCTTGAGCGTCGGGCGCTTGTTCAGCATCCGTTTGTAGAAGGGCAGCGTGAAGCCGGTATCGATGAACTTCCCGTGGTACAGAGCCTGGGCAGGGAGGGGACACCAGGTCACGGGGAACCCTGGGACAGACAATGCTCCACCCTGGGCAGCCACGGAGCAGAAGGGACTCATGCAGGGGTTCCTGAGCTATGGCACTCGCTCCTGGCTGGCACACATGGTGGGCTGCCCCCACAGCACTTCCCAGGCCGGGTGGGCTGCAGCCCCTCTCCCTCCCCACGGCAAATTCCACTGCATCTCCCTCTCCCCTCACAGCTCTATTAAGAGCACTTGTTTAAACAGAGCTGTGCTGTGGCTTCCCTGAATCCCTGGCTTCCAGGAGCCCCGAGGCAAAGGCAGCCAAAAATAATGCAGACGCTTGTCTAGAACGGCCCAGCGGTGAGTAATAGTCTGGGGTTTTATTGGTATCCTGCGAGGCGGGGCAGGGCAGGGCAGGACAGCGGGGCCGGGGCCGCCCCCACACACACCCTGCCCGTGGGGCTGCGGGCCAGGGACCCTGCCCGGCCTGGGGGAGCCCGGCAGCCCCCCTGCCAGCCCGGGCACACTGGCCTTGAGCAATCCCACACAAACGGGAGGAGCTGCTCTGGAGCTCGGGCAGCTGGAAAATCTCACACTGCTGGGACTAAAAATAGTCCCTGGAGCTGCAGAGCCGACAGCACCTGGGGTGACAGCCAAAGACCTGGAGCCATCCATCCCCGCCACAATCCTGGGAAACCAGGTCTCCTCCTCCCCACAGCCTTTCAGTGGATTTAAAATGCATCACACCCCACTGCACCCCCTTAAAGGCCCATCTCCCCCTGACCCACATGTGGGCAGGAAGGGGCTCAGGGAGGGCAGCAGTGCCAAGCCCAGCACAGCCACAGCACACAGAGCTGCCCCGTGCCCTGCTCACCACCCTGTCCCCTGCTCTGCAGGGGGACACAGACCCCTGGTGCCACCCCCTGACAAACCCCTGGTGCCACCCCCCAGCTCTCACCATGGCGATGAAGCGGCCGATGAAGCGGAAGTAGGTGAGGTGGTCGGGGTTGATGGAGGAGGCAGGGTTGATCTGCAGGCAGTAGTTGTTCTTGCCTGCATACTCGAAGAGGCAGTACATGGGGTTGAGCACCTCGTGGGACAGAAGGAAGAACCACTCCCTGGAAGGAAACAAGGGGAACACGGTGACAAGGAGCTCAGGGAGGGGACAGTGCGTGTCTCTGCACCAGCGGGTGCCCAGCTCAGACAGGTGCTGGGCACTGGTGTGACTGGGCGAGGCTGTTCCCCTCCCCGGGGTGCTGTGTGGGGTTTGTGAAGGGTTTCTGGAGATGCCAGCTTGCTGCAGGCCCCACTCAGCGCATCGGGAACCTCGGCAACTGCCCCACACAGTCCCAGCTGGGCTGTCCCACACACACACACCCCCTGAGTGCACCCAGTCCCTCCGCACACACTGCCCCGGGAGCCCCACGCCAAGCTCGGGCCAGCACCATCCTGGCTTTGCTCCCCCGGCCGTGCAGGCAGACAGGAATCCTCAGACGTGGAGGCAGCCCCGGCATCCTGTCCGTGGTTCTACCCTGTGGTAGAACAGCATGACGTAACCTACCATAGGGTAAAACCACTGGCAGGACACGGAGAGAGGTGGAGCAGGAGCAGCAGCCGGGGCAGCAGCCCCATGAGGGGCAGCAGGTGAGCGTGGGGTGGCAGCGGGCAGGGACACGCCAACCCAGCTCCAAGGAGATGTCCCAGGTGAGCCAGAGGGGGCTCACAGGGACACAGGACCCCCTCTAGCCAAGCCACAGCCCATGCCCTGTGGTTACATCACCCCAGGGCAGCAGCAGGGCTGCAGAAACCACATCACACCCTGCCTGCCCTGGCACACACTGACTGTCTGGGAACACCAGGGCCTGTTTGCTGCAGGGAGACAAGGCCACTCAGCCCATCACACCCACAACTGGGGGCAGCAGGGGAGCCCCAGCTGGGTCCCCTGTGCTGTCACTGCCAGGGATGGGCTGGGGTGATGCTTTCAGGGTGTTCCACCACTCCAAAAAGCCAGTGCCCATTGGAATGCCCCTGGACTCCTCTGCTCCAGGCCTGGGAGCCCTGAGTGCAGCTGCCTTATGTGTGCACTGCCCACAGGACATGGGGCACAGGCAGGGCATGGCCCTGTGGCCCAGCAGGCCACGCTCACCTGGCGATGCCACCGTAGTCCAGACCCTCCTCCCCACGCATGATGATGTACAGCCGGCGCCGCAGGTCGTACGGCTTCATGTTCATGATCTGGGGACGAGCAGGGCAGTGTCACCATGGCTGGGGCCAGCTGCACCCCTGCCCAGCTCCATGGCCCCAGCACCTCCCTACCTGCTGGAAGGAGTCCTCGAAGAGCGTCTGCCGAGACACGCTGATCTTCACATGGCTGGGCAGCGCGTTTGACTGCAGGCAGGGCAAAGGGCAAAGGGCTGTGTGAGGCTGGCACGGTTCTCCTCACCCACACCTGCCCACAGGGCTCAGGACACCCACCCAGCTGCCCACAGCAGCTCTACTCACGTGGCAGAGGAAGCGGAACTGGTGGTACTTCCAGCGAAAGCTCCGGTCGTAGGCGCCCGGGGAGCCGCCGTGCTTGCTCCTGCCAAAGCAGCAGGGCCCCGGTCACACCCCGTGCCTGCCCTGCCCCAAGCAGCCCCCGTCAGGAACCGGGTGGGATGAGGGTCACTGGGGCGCAGCTCTCCTCGGTCAGAGCCCACAGGAGCCCCAGATGTGCTGCTCAGGGCTTACCCCGACTCGAAGCCCGGGCGCGGGTCCTTGAAGGTGGTGGTGCGGGTGTTGTGGTCCACGAAGTAGCGCACGCTCTCGTTCGTGTACTTCATCTCCCAGCCCGGCGGCAGCGGCGGCTCCTGGATCATCCTGCTGGCAAGGGAGGGCTCACCAGACAGGCCTTTGGGGGGCCCCCCCAACTACAGCTCTGTGCCAGGCACAAGGAAGGATTCATGGCATGGGACTGGGGAGCGACTGTCCACACCCCAGGAGAGGAGTCCTGCCAGGGCAGCACTGCGGCCACGGCACTGTCAGAGCTTCTCCCTCCCTCTGTGGGACACATGGCCTCAGTGCAGGCCAGGTCCCTGCACCTTCCCAAACCCTGCTCCCCCCACAGCCACCTACCCCTGCGTGCGAGGGTCCTCCCACTGTGTGGTCCGGGTGTTGTGGTTCACGTAATACACTCGCCCATTGTCCTGTCTCTTCTCTAGGAGAAAAGGGAGACAAAGTGTTAGCTGGAGTCCTGGGAACAGCCCTCCCCTTCCCAGCTCACAGGAAATTTGTCAGCTCCCCCATTCCACCTCCCTGGCTCATTTGGAAAAGGCAGGATAAACCCCACACTCCTTCTGTGTGCCCGAGCTGCCTCAGCCCGGCAGTGCCAGCGTGCAGGAGGTGCCAGGGCAAAGGCCAGCGCTGCCACTGTGCTGCCAGGCCAGGCCAGGGGCTGTGCTCAGCCACACACCCTCCTGGGACACACACAGCCCCTCCTGGAACACGCAGCAGTGTCCCTCACATGGATCCACAGGTGCTTTCCCAAACTGCCTGCACGGCCCTGCTCCAGTGCACACATGTGTGAACACACACACTCCCTCCTTGTGTGCACACAGGCACAAAACAGCTCCAGCACACAGCCAGCCACCCCTGCACACACCCCCTGCCTCCCTGGCACTGTGTGTGCCCCACACCTCCTCCTCCATGTGCTGCGTCACTCACCCACGCTCAGCCCCGCACCAGGCAGGCAGGGACACCTTGTCACCTCCCTGTCCCCTCCTGGCCAGTGCCAGCTCCACCCCACTCCTGGACCGTGGGCAGCAGCCCCCAGATGATGGCCAGGACTGCATCCACCCCAGGGATCCCATCCATCCTGGGAGCCCCCACCCCACAGTGCTGTGCCTGCCCAGCTGGCACTGGGGACGGGTTCCTTCTCCTCGCTGATGGAGAGGGGACACCCAGCAAGGGCTGCACCACCACCCCCATAAAGACACTGCCCCTACAGACTGCCTGAGCAGCCTTGGCCCCTCTGTCCTGCTCCTGGCTCCCACAACTTTACCCCTTCTCCTGCTCTCCCTGGCTCAGCACAGCACAGCTGCACCCTCAAGCATCCCAGCCTGCCCTCTCCAGGGATGCTCTCACCATGGAGGGGTTCTCTTTGTCCCAGGGGTGGCACAGGGACTTTTCAAAATGTCCCAGCACACAATGCTTGGGCCATTTGGGGATGACCAGCTCTGCTCCTGCCAGCTCCCAGCCCTGCTCCAGAGACAGGCAGAGCATCCCAGGAGGCAGCACAGCAGAGAACAGATCCCTGCTCATCAGAGGTGGGGTCCAGGGACATGCAAGGACTTCCACCCCCAAATTGGAGATCTTCCCCATCCCAAAGAACAATCACAAGCACTTCTGCATTCAGCAGCTGAGAGAGGCTGGGAACTCCTCCCAGCCTTTTCCCAGGAAAAGGGGAAGGCAGGGGAAGAAAAGCTGAATTTCACATAAGAGATCATGCTAGTCACAGGCAGAGTCAGTCCCACGTGCAGCCCAGCACAGGAGTGCTGGTTCCATGGCCACCCTTCACCCTTCCCAGTAACGCCAGGCATGGGAGTGAGGGAGCTGGCAGGGTCCTGGTCCAGTGACAGGAGTGTCCCCGGGGGCCATGCAGGGCCAGGTGAGGCAGTGCAGTACTTACCCCAGCCGGGAGGAAGGGGCCCCAGAGGATCATTGTCGGACGGGGCTCCGGAGGACTAGAGAGAGCAAAAACACGGAATAAACCCCAGAGCCGGGATGGCTGGAGGAGCGGAGCACGGAGGTGAGCCAGCCAGCCCCGCTTCCACTCGCCTCTCCTTGGCCCACTGCTCCCAGGGAACTAAAAAAAAAACTTGCACACTCAAGGGGGGTTAAAAAAAGAAACAAAAAAAGCAAAAGCAAATAAAAAAATAAATTGGGAAAAAAAAAAAAAAGCCCA